TTTACCCCAAAAACAACGCCACAAGGCACACGCGCACGTGGCGGGCGCCGCGAGCTTTGGGCAAAAGTGGAGCGCACCGGGTGAGCGGCATTTGCGAGCCGCTTCCGTATCCAACGCCGGCTCCGTCGACGCGTGGATTCAAGACAAGATTGCCCACCTAGTTCGGTTTAGCCCCCCGATGCGCTGCAGAGGGAGACGACGCGGAACGGGGCAAGCGGCTCGACACTTCCCGAGGTGTCGTCGTTTGACTGTTCGAGTCTCTGAGAAGTCATCGCGTCGCAGCGAGAGAGCAAGAGAAGCGCACACGAGCACAGAGAATGGCAACACACACACACAACCCCCCCCCCCCCCCCGAGTAATTCAGTGTTATTCAAAAAAAGATGGTTATCTATCGGATTAACTCAGATCATCCCCTGCTCAACCGCCCACGATGCCACACGGCTGTCGCATGCCCCCCACCGACCCCTTGGCTCTCCCCCCCCACCCTAGTACCCTATATAAACACGTGTCTCTAAATAGGTCTCTTCATACGCTACAGTAATTGTGCTGGAGCAGTCACACCTGATGACGGATGCTTGTGTTGCTTCCGAAACGTCGTGATTTAATTGAGTTGTTTTATTTTTATTTTGTTTTCACCTACGTGACTTTACCGAAAATAACGAAAGAGTATGGGATACTTGCGGTCACGGAAACTTCAAATCTAGAATTAATTCAGTGTTATTATTACGATGACTACCGCGTCCGTGAAACGTCGCGACTGCGAACCTGAGCCGAGAGGTGGAGTGGGGAGGGGCGGAGCGCAGAGTCACAACACAACCAGACAATCGCCTCTCAATTCCTCGCCAGCCGTGACGAGGGGGTGGAAGTGGGGAGGTTGTCAACGGGCACCTTTTCATTTTTTTGCTGTCGTTCAACTTCATCAAAATTTCAACAGAATTCAACATGAAACATTGTAAATGGACGAGGCAATATATTTATATGTGTCACTCACCCCCCCCCCCTCCTTCCGCCCTCCACAATATAAAAAATGTATCAACAGCGTTTGACGTCGTCGCTTTTTCTGCCTGCCGCCGAGTGTTTCTCCCGAGGTGCTGGCCCTGTGCTTTGCGTTGCCAGCGTTTGTACTCTCCATTTAGTCTCGCGCTCAACTCGACGGCGATTTACGCATTTAGCAAACATGAGCAACTGTGACAATAACAACAAACAACAGCCACAACAACAACAACAACCCTCCGATCTTGCTGACCTTGCGATCGCACGAAAAGGTCGCGTGAAGAAATTAGCCAGGAATGACCGCGGCGGGTTTCATTCATTTCAATCATTTATTCAGTTGCCACTCTTTGTCACCATCATCCCACTTAAACTACTGGAGAGGAAGAAAGAAAAAAAAACAACACATGCATAACCCTATCAGTATGTCGATGCTACACTTTAAACATTTACGGTTTCAGCCGTCACCATCACATGGTGACACCAGAACAACGAACGGACGGACGAACAAAAATCACAATGAGTGCCCTGGGATAAGATAAAAAAAAAAGAAAACGAATTCACCGGTGAAAAAAAATGTACAAAACACAATTGCCGAACAAAATCCACACAAAACGTTTATCTACAACAACAACAACAAAAATGTCTCTCTATTCTCTGGCATTTCAATGGTCATCTACATCCCCGACAAACGCCGCGCCAAATCATCGGGACAGCTCAAACCGCACGGCCTTGACGCGAGGTTTGTTTCAGATGCGGGCTTCAGTTGTTTGGGCAGGTCCCATGAACAGCTATCGGACACTTATTGAGTTATTTAAATAAAAGTCGAAGTTATATTTTTTTGTCCTGCTCAAATGAACGTTGGGGTTTTGCTAATCTCCTGTTAACAATTCCGAGTCAGTGGTGGAAATTCTGCCTTCTCGTGGCAGGGGCGAGTCTCTCCTGCAAGATAAACCCAACTAACTGTCTGGCTGACGCCTGATGAAGCTCGTTGTAAATTACTGGCGAAACGTCGTGCTCAGATTGTAAATGTTGTGGCTTGGCTCTCAAACACACCGGTTAGTGCTGTACTAGTGACGAATTGGCACGTTCTGTTTACGTGACAACCCTTACTAGTTGGCTGTGTCGGGTGGTGGTGGGTTTAACGAAACATTTGTATATTTACGTGATCTCACCCAATAAAACCTGTACTATAAACCTCACTGACTCCCCTGCCAAGTAGTGAATATTTTATCGACCTCGGTGGGATGATGGGTCGAGTCAATCATCCGATCAGGATTTTAAACTCGCAAATTTTGACTTAAAACTTTCGTGACTGCAGGAATTCACATTCTTTAGTTCTTTCGGTAAAGTCACGTAGATAGGAAATAAAAAAATTATAATAAAATAATAAAATGTTAAATAAAAAAACAAAAACTCACGACTTTTCGATCGCAACACAAGCGTTCGTCATCAGGCGGAGAGAAAATGGGGGTAAGAGCCTCTAATGTCAACTGTTCATAAAGGTTCGGCATCTCTTCAGAAATGTGAGTGACTCGATCAGATCATCTGTGACTTTACCGAAAGAAACCAAAGAATACGGTGAAGGTCGTTTGACAAGCGGTTGTGCGCTTAAATTGTACTGCTTCGCGTGAAGTATTGAGCACGTGGACCGGCATCGTAGGCGTCTGGCAAATCCGCCTTTTGGCACTGCGTGGGGGATTACTGCCCAAAATCTGGAGCCTTCATCTGGCACAAACCTTGCCGTCGCCACCTCCGTGTTTTGCCCAAGGCCTCGTGTTTTGGCCCGAGCGTTTTCACCGCAAGAAGATGACTGCACACTGGAGGTAAATACAATGGCCACAACAGCCACGGTCATTCGCTGTTCCATCGCGACGATGGGCAGAGGTGCTTCTCACGACTTTAACGTGCACACAACAGAATAGAGGTTTACTCTGTTTAAAAAAAAAAGAAAAACATCAATTCCACACAACCTCGTTCTTTCTGTCGGTTAGTGGAAAGTGCTGTGAAATACGGTGCACCTTTTACCTCGGCTCCGGAAAAAGCGAGAGGTCATTGAAACGTCACCCAGGCCACCATCAATCATTTCCTAGCGGTGTTTGTAGTGCAGTGCGGTCATTATTTTTGACCAGAGTTGATGGGGGGGGGGGGGGGGAGAGCTGTCTGTAGGCCATCGCTTCTCAACGAGTCGACCCCAGCGACGCATTTACGACTTTGGAAGGAAACAAAAAACCGGATACGTGAGACGCACAAGTTGTTAGGGTATGGCCTCAGAAGACGAAAGCAGTCACGGACTTTGTTTTACCCATGAGCTGCTACACCACCACACCTCACTGCTGTTCTCTCTCCTTTTTTTACGTGAAAATTAAAAACCCGAAGTGTACAAAACTGCACACAGATGCTGAACAACAGCAACTCCGTTTGTGCTGTGTGCTAAACACAATTAAATATCCCCCACTTTGAACAAAACAATCACTAGAGAAGGCGAACGTATCTTGCGCATTGCTCAAGTTTATGAGCGTCTGCCATTTATCGGCAATGTGACTATGTGTTTATTTTTATTTTCAGCACCACGGACAGAGCTGCAACTGAGGTAATTGTCCCCTAATTCATCGACGTGACGATCGCCCAGTTTTTTTTCTTGTTGCTCCCGCAAGATGCGGCTCCGGATCGCGAGCGCCTGCGTACACGCTATGAACGAAACATTTTTTTTAAAACACCGCATCTTTCTTGTGTAAAAGGCAACACGAAGTTTCATACACAGTGCTCGCTCATCATTCCCTGTGTCTTGCTTCATAAGGCTGAGATTCGTGACTTAGCAGTTTGTCTTTGGTTCAGAAGGAGATGCATTGCGCCATCTGCTTGGCTCATTCGACTCTTTTGTCGGGTATGAAAATAAAATAAATGACGTTAAGGCTGCCTACGTTTGTGGCCAATTTTGGTTTTTTTTTCTTCTTATTATTCTTCTTCTTCTTCAAGCCGCATGCAAAATGCACGCAACTTACAACAACAAGGCTTCGCTTTGGAGATGTATTTCTTTGGCAAGGTCTAACAGTTGTGGGGGTGTGGGTGGGGGGTTGTTTGTTTGGGAGGACATTGAAGCTGCTAAGTTCATAGTGGCATTGGATTTGCATAATACGGGGTTGTCCATACAGGTATCGTCACATTTTGACAACAAATATATAACTAGACAACAATTTGTTCACATTCCTTAATAGACGATATTTTTTGTTGTAGCCTAAACATCGAGAGTCATCCTCGCCGGCGCGTGACAAAATACGCAATTGTGAGTCACAGCGGTGGGGTCGATGAGCACCGAGGCCTGGTTAACGTCTCGACGCGGCGTGCGTTGCCGTCGCCACGGAGGACACGTGGACGTTCCGAGGGATGACACTCGCACAGGAAAACATTTTCGTACTAAGTTGGGTGTGTGCACGTGTAGAAGCGGTCATGTCGCAGTTAGTGCGCCGCGCTACAAACCCGGCGACCCGAGTTCGATTCCCGCTCACGGCCAACACCAGTGACGGTTATCCGAAAGGGTGCCGGGCCTCCCCTAGGCCGACTCAGCCTTAATTGAGTACCTGGTGCGATGAGTAAAAACATCGCCACTAGGGAGACAAAAGGGAGACAAAAGCGGCCGGGCGTGGTGCTGGCAACCCACCCCCCTCGTGTGCCGTTCCGGCCCTTCATAGGTGCGACTCGCGAACGGCACTTGCTCTAACAGTTTGTTAACGTTATACAGGGTGGGAGGGGGGGCGAAATGCTGTCTAATTGTAATTCTCTCACAATGGACGATGCGGTGTACGGACAAGGCTGTACGACGAGTCGTCTCTTGTACTTCCTCCGTCTCCACCACTCCGCCACTCGCGTGTGCCGACAGCGTGCACACGCGCTCCGGCGGCGACGGACATCTGTGAAGCATGGGCAAGCGTGTTTTGGTTCTCTATTGCTTTACTTTGGTGTTCGTTTGAGCTGGTGGCTATTTCGTCTCATTCGTTTTCTTCTTCTTCTCACATTTCCGTTTTTGGGCATTTAAAGGTGAGCTAATGTCCATAGTTTGGCCTCTTTCAAAGCTTTAGCGATTAAGCAATTATACCCTATATAGTGCATTCGACAGCAAATGATCACGAACCACAACGTTGAACGTACTGTACGGTTTTTTTTTTGCTGTTGCAATTCCCGATTCGTGAGTGAAATGAGCCACCGCAACATCGCGTTCACATCAGTGGCAGAAAAAAAACATCATTGAGGTGCGAATTAAAAAAATCGATAATTTCAAGGATTTCAATCGACAAGTTGCATGTGGGGGATCAGGTGTGGGTAACGCCCACCTTTTCCAACATGTCTGACCAGTGTGGAAGACTAGGCCAAATACCGTCTAAGAGTTCCCTCCGGTGGAGACCCCTCCATCAGCAGTGGCGTGAGCGAGCAATTGCACGGTTGCACCATTACTACCTTTTTAAAAACAATTGCTAAAACAATGAAGGAAGTCGAACGTGTGTTTGATGCAGTGCGCTGACTGCGGTGCGCACAGAGGTGCAACTCGCCACTCAACGGATGATGAAGACTCGGGGGTGAATACCCGATCCGACGTTCAGTTTGAAACTGCCGCTCTGTTTGATCACACCGAGGTCATCGTGACGCCACGTTTCTGTTGCGGTTTTTGGGAGCTGCCAACCCACGGCCGATACTTTTTTTGTGTTGCATCAGAAACCATCCGAACGCCGTACATTTTTTACTGCGTGCCCTGCTCACAGGTACGTGCGACCCTGCCGTTCCGTTGGGACGGTGCGGCGACGTTAGCATTGAAGGGCGTTTTATACAAAACCCTCCCGCCAACTCGTCCGCTTGTGCGCCCCCAGCTACGAGCGATGGAACTCTACAACGGCATTATTGCTAACGCTGTCGCGTTTGAGAAAATGCTGAGCGGTGGATGATGAACATACATAGTGGAGACGAACAGGCACCAATGCCCTTGAGACTCATTTTTAAGGCAGTGGTATTGTAAAGGTATCGAAGGAGTATTCTGTCCGACCGAAACGTTACAATGTACGAACACGATTACTATCGGTCAGATTTTTTAAAGATTTTTTTTTCTTTTTACCATTTTAAAAAAATATCTTTTTTTTGTTAGAAACTAATGCATACCAGTCCAATCCAGGTAAAGGCCTATTTGTGTGTGTGTCTAAATTAATTTTAAAAAATAAGTCCCAGCATCCAGCATTGACGTGAGACGTACCAACATCCGAGCCGGCCACAAGCACGGCTTTCTGCCTCCACTCGCGAACGTTCGCTTCGTCACGGAAACTCGCGACAAGGGGGGGGGGCGGGGGGTGAGGGGGGAACGTGACGGCCGGGTCAAAAATCCGCACCGTGGAGAGGCTCCCCCCTACCCACAACAAAAAAGGGCTCGCCGGATTTTTCTTGCAACATTTTTTTTGTGAAAGAAACAAAAAGTCCCACGTTCGTTTTTTTTCCCCCCATTTTCTTCTTTTTCTTTTTTGCGTCGAGCTATCGTCATTTTTCCTTTCATTGTCTTTGTCCCCGCCAGCGGCGAGTGGGACGATGGCCACGCGAGGCAAACGTTCGTTCCGGCGGTAGAAAACGTCGTCGTCGTACAACTTTTAAAAAATGCAAAAAACCTATTTTTGTTTTTTAAACCCCCGGCCCAAAGCACCGGAAACGATGCCATCACTGGGCGGCGTACGCTCCGTGACCGTGAAAATGCGGCACCGACGCTTCGACGCCGTCGCTCCCGATCATCCTGTCTCCTCCTTCTTCTCCTCCTCCTTCTTCGTCGTCGTCTACCTCGTCGTCATCTTCCGTGATGTCGTCGCAGTAGCCCTGGGCTTCGGGGGGCTCGGGGGAGCGGCCCCCCCCGGACGTTGTGACGAGCGACAAGGGGCCTTGCTCAAACTCCGCCACCGCCGCCGCCGCCTCTTCATCCTCCTCCTCCTCCTCCACATCCTCCTCTTCCAAATCCGCCTCCCGCCCCACCTCATCGTCGTCATCGAACTCCACCTCCCGCTCCCTGGAGTAGTCGTCGTTCTGCTGCATGTACATGGGCTCCTCCTTGATGTACACGTGGGACCTGCGGGAGGGCGGCAGAGACGGGAGGACGCGAGTTGGTAACTGACGATCATAGTGACGCGCCAAAAGGGTGGACGGCCAACGTATGAGTGAGAAAGAGTTTTGCGCGCAGAAGAAGACCTGATGAGAAGGAAACTGACACTATGCGGACAAACACACGGAGGATGGGTGACAGGAAAATTAAAAGTGTCTTGTTGCTCGGGACAAATGGAAGGAACCGGAGAGAGAGGAAGACCTAACGGAGAATTTATTGGCGACGACATAAGTGATTGTTGGCCGGAATGACGTGCGCTACTTGAGTATATTGGCACGAGACAGAGAGGAAAGAAAACAAATGACGAAATCTGTAGTGGACACCTACGGGACTACCTGCCCACGGATCGTGATGATTATGATTGCCAATAATACTCACTGATACATGTAAAATTTAGAGTCGTAGTATTATTATTATTATTATCTCGCAAGGCTATCACGTGGGCACTATTTTTCATGGACGAGTGTGGTACGTATGTCGAACTTCTTTTGCACTGTACGTAGCCAGCCGTGCCCATCGGATGTGCGGAGCAAGGACAACAAACTAAACACAAAAAGCAGTCCTAAAGAAATGAGTTTGTCAATCCAGATGATGATTTGAAAGCGCATAATTCTAGTGGGTTCCAAGAATCATAAAGAAGAGCGATTTAGACGGCCGCAGAAGCGCATCTGAAAGCGCCGCGCGATGTGGTGGACCGTCTCTCAATGGCAGCATCCTGTAATTACATCAGTGAGTGTTTGTTTCACTATTAATATGGGTGGCCTTGTTATTTTGTACAGGGGCGCAGAGTTTGAATCTACAACAAACTAAACACAAACAGCAACTTCTAAACAAATCCGTTTTCAATCCTCCAGTAGAGGGCCACGTTGCTCTGTGGTTTTGCCAAATCAAGGAACGTTCGAGTCATAACAGAACACTGGGAACGTTGGACCATGACGTGGCCCCCTGTTTGAATGTTCAAATGGGAAAGACTTAGCGGCATGCCGCTCTACCGTGCCGGCTGGCTCACCGGCGGGGTCACTTAATACTATTTTATACAACCAGAATCAGAATCTTTATTTAGAGCGGAGGAATCCGATGAGCTATGAAGCTCTTTTTCACAGATGTCCAGTAGGGGCAGAAAGTTACAACAACACGGAAGACAACAACCCATAATAGAGGTTCTTGTGTTTGATTGCGTAAATATAAATGTGTCGTTAAACCCGCAAACACAGCCAATCCGTAAGGTTTGTCACGTAAACCAAACGTGCCAATTCGTTACTAACACAGCACACCGCTTGTGTGTTGGAGAGTAAACCCGCAACATAGTACATGTGGTTAATGCAGACTTGATGGCTTGCAAAAGGTTTCTATTTTGTGTTTGAACATCTTAACACCTGTTGTATTGCCAGAAAGGGACCAATATTATTCATTATTGTGAATGTATAGAATATATAAACACAAATTGCAAAAGTATAAAAATTCCTGCCGATCTTTCAATGTATCCCCTGTAGCCCTGGGTGACCCTGAACCCCCGTGACCTCTGGACAACCACGTGACACCACGACCCCGTGAGCCGTGACCCCGTGAGCCGTGACCCCGTGCCACCCAGGGCGAGGCCTCACCGCGGGGACCACGAGGGGCTGCGAGCGGAGCTGTCTGGGCCGGACTCGCGGCTGCCGTTGAGGTCGGCCTGGGCCCGCTCGGCCGCCTGTGCCAGCATTGCCGCCGTGGCCGGGTTGACGAGGCCGTGCCGCGCCAGGTACGCGAGGTTGCCTTCGCCCAACGCCTGCATCGGTTGTGCAGCGGACACACGAGCGCCGTGAATACATGCCACGGCGACACGCCAAGGACACATGCCACGAACACATGCCACGAACACATGCCAGGGACACACGCCACGAACATATGCCAGAATGACACACCACGGACATACGTCATGCACATGTGCCAGTGACACACACCATTAACACATGCCACAGACACATGCCATGAACATGTACCACTGTGACACACCATCAACACACACCATACACACATGCCACGGACACACACGCCATGAACACGTGCCACAGTGAAACATCATTAACACGTGCCAGGGACACGCCACGGACGCACGCCACGAACACGTGCCCACAGCGACACGCCACGGACACGTGTCACGCGCACACACATACACACACGCGCACGCGCGAGAGACAACACGCCGCGACCACACTGGGACTGTTGGAGACGAGCTGCGATGCAATGCAACGAGCGTGTCCGAGTCGGCGACGTGTCCGGGGCGGGTTGGTTACCTGGAGGCCGGAGCTCAGCAAGGAGCCGTTGTCGAGGCCGCCGGGCGCGCTCTTCAGCAGCGTGGGGCTCCTGCGCGCGCCGACGCAAGAACAGGACTCGTGAAAGCTCACGCGCCCGCATACACACGGCACTCGCACGCACGCTCAAGCACAGACGCTAAGACAAAGGTCCCCATATAGGTATTCGGTCTGATGGGGCAAGTGCGGTTATAGCGAGCACATTTTGTGGCCCGCTATCACGTCCGGGCGGCCGGCCGCCTTTGTCTCCCCAATGCTGATGTTTGCCAAAATCGTTTAAGGCCTAGTCGACCTAGGGAAGGCCCAGAACCGGTGCTGATATCACTTGCCCAATGACGTCATCTGTGGCTGGGATTCGGACGAAGATTGCTAGGCCTGTAAAGCGGCGCCGTTACTCCCCTCTACACACACGCACGCACGCGCACGCACACACGCACGCACACACACACGCACGCACACACGCACACACACGCGCACACCCCCACGCACGTTCCATTTGCCCCGCTAACGACTCCGAGGGCTTACGGTGACGCACGCGATCGATCCCTTTACGAGCAATTTTCCATGGGTAATTCCGTTCACAGGCACTGCCAGCAGGACTGACCTCCAGCGAGATGCATCATCCGTTACCATTTAACGCCAGGCAGGTGGCAGCCAATTGAGAATCATTATCTGATTGGCGAGGTCAACAACATTGTCAACTTTTGGAATGGGGCCATTATGTCGGCTGGCTGGCCGGATGGCAATGGCCGATTCCTGTAATTTATATTTAAAGTCCAGCTTTGCAGCGTACCTTCTTCAAACAAACAAAAATGGCTCTGTGGCAAGTGCACTTGCCGACATGACTACCGGCAAGTAATACATCGATCGATTATGTGCGTCTGTCAATGTGGTGGAGCAGAGGATTGGCGCGCTGAGGCCTGCCACTCGAGTTGCGTTTCCAGCCTCGGCTACCGTCAGTGACGAGCGCGTGACACCTGCACCGGTTTCCTGGGCTCCACAATTGCGCCAACCCACGCTGACCAGCGGGGTGAAGTATGGTCAAAACAATCCCTATGACTGGCACGACATGGGACGGGTCGAGCAACGGAACGACAAAGGGGCTGCAGGTTATTACACGTTTTATATAACGAGTATGAATATCGATACAACTTGGGTTTTTTTAGAAAATAAAATGGCATTGCGCAACACTGTCTATTGTCCGCGCACTGCGAGACTCGGAGAGGAAGAGTTCGCGACAAGCGGTGGGAGAAGCCCGTTGTTTCAGAATCGAGCCCTCTCAAGGAACCCACCAAGGAACTCGCGCTCGTGACCCGCTCGATGCTCGTTAAGCCCGGTCTAAAGACGCGGCCATCTCCCGCGTTGCCCATTCACAAACACGCTTCGCATCGCTCCCCGCGGGTGACCACAACTTAACTGGCGTTCCCGCAACACACGACGACGGGTGGTGACAAATCGTCGCGAACGAGTGTCGAAACCGCGGGCGCGGCAGTGAGTCAAAAGCGATGAGTCAAGCGAGCATGCGAATGAGCGTGGCGGCTGGGTTAGGCGGTAGCAGCAAGCACGGCAGGCGAGGGCGGGTGGGCGGGGGGGTAAAATCAGAATAAAAAAAATAAAAGCGAAATATAAGTTCAGAAAGTGTCACGCGTAAAGAACGTTGCACAACATGTTAAGGTTGTTGCGTTGGTCTTTGGATGAGACTTACAACAATGTGCCGCCGTCATTTTCAGAGAGTCGCTGATATGAATAATAATGGATCGTGGCTGCTGCAACTCGATACGTTGCTTACAATTTTCGTATAATTTTTACGATATTTGTATATTATTAAAAAAAGCATGTATTTTTTTCAAAATCCATCGTTTGTTTGTTTGTTTTCCATTGAATGGCCTCCAACTACGCACATACTTTCTGGTCAGACCAAGTGCTCAGTAAACAATACAAATAGTAGGGCCCATTGCCCGAGAGACCTCGCTGAGTCTCGTCAATATTCTTCAGGAAAGTCCTCGAGGAATTTGACAATTTCATTAACGAGCATTTGGTATCTTTCGATTTAAAGCTTTCGTGACTGCGGGATTCATCTTCTTGGTTCTTTCGGTAAAGTCACGTAGAATGGAAATAATAAAATAAAACATAATAAAATTATTCTCACGACGTTTCGGCCACAACGCAAGCAGCCGTCTTCAGGTGGAGAACAGGTCTGTCGAGAAGACTCTGCCTTATGTTTTATTTTTATTATTTTATTATTTTCCTTCTACATGACTTTACCGAAAGAACCAAGAAGGAGCATTTGGTACTTTGTGACTTCCCAGAAAAAAAGTGGCCACGCTCGCCGCTCTGCATTAACAAGATTCAAGAATCCCATTGCTGGATTGCCACCTCGCAGGCCACACACCCGGGGCAGGCACCCTCTCGGCCGAGTACGAAGCAGACTCAGCCCTGCTAGGCTTCTGAGAGATCTGATGGCCGCATTATTTATAAGGAACGTTCGCTGATAAACGTTCCATCGTACGGACAAATGCCAATGCTCCACTGCACCCAGGCTTAGCCCCGCGGTGTATAGTTTATAACAATCACATTATTTATTTACAGGCCTTACTCGGACCAATGGCGGATGAAGGCATCCCCATGCCGTGTCCGCTTTAGGAATTGTTTGATCGTGCTCAGGCGTGCCCGGATGTTCCTGGAGGCCCAAGGCAAACTCCCAAATGGGGCCCCGCTAATGCCACCATCCAAAGGCCTACTTTGGGGCCCTCTTTTTCCCTCTGGATAGACTTGGCCATACTTCCCCATGCAGATCAGTGCAGATTGGTGAAGGGGGAGTGTGGTGCCGAGGTCCAGTTAAGATATCACGAGCCCCTCATGTTAGCCATGGTCGTGAATAACACCGAGGTCGCAGGGTTTACGGCGAAGTGCGCCCCCCCCCCCCCCCCCCCCCACTGACCATTGCATATTTTAGAGACCTATTTATAATCGTTTTTAAGCGTTCATCTGCTCTGCAACTGAGACAATAATAAGCCGGGGGTGGCTTACACACACTCAAGGGCAAATGGAATGCTTGAATTGACGGGGCGATAAGAATGAGTTGTTTTTAAATTAAATAAGCAAAAGAGAACAGGTGGCGACCCTAATTGCAGTGACGGGCGCCCGCCCACTTGCACGGGGAATGCCGCGGGGTTTGCTAGTGCGGTGCCGGGCGTTTCACTTCGAGGATCATTCCATTCGAAAGACGCAAGCCCGTCGGGCTTCCCCCCCCCACCCCGCACACGCTGCTGTCGTGTCAGCGATCGTCCACCCTTGATGGTGGGCGGCAACTTGGGGGAGGCCTTCATCCAGTAGTCGATTGACCACGGCTGATGATGCCCAAGATGATGCCTAAGAACCAACGGAGCCAATCGGCAGGCTTCCCAGTCCTCGCAACTCACCGCTGTATCCGCCTCTCCCTCCAAGTCTTCAGATACAAATCAAGCCATTGCACACCGCACCTGTCTGATGATTGGTAAACATATCCAACATGCCGTAGGGAACGCTAATTGAGGTTGACAAAAATCTTGGATGTACGGTGGCGAGATGTTAACTACCTCGGCTGGTATGCAGGTGGTAGTGGGTTCGATCCCAACCCTGACCCTTGCTGTATATTTGGAGTTTGTATGTCCCCCTCCTCGTGGTCGCTTGAGTTTTTCTCCGGGTCCTCCGATTTTTTTCCCTTCACATTTAGAATCATGCGTTTAAAGTTACTGGCTGCTATACATTTCCACGTGATGAGCCGCTTCATTTGGTGATCATTTGTGGCTAGGTCACTTCTGAAAAACAGCGCTGTAGAGTTCAGTGGGCCTTACCTGGTCAAATAAAAGTACTTTCGTTTTCAGTTATAAGTGAAGGATGCTTCTTCACTTTAATTGATGAAGCCCACTTTGTCAGGAAGACGAACAGGCCAGGCAATCAGGCCATGGCAGTAGACCAATGGATTCTTCAATCGAGCTGTGTGGAGCTCTGAGCATGAAGCTATCCCCCTAAAAGTCCAAATCCTCAATGAGGATTTCCTTGATGAACAGCATCGTTGTTATGGGTACAAAAATGCCCTAACATCAATGTCACGTGATATCAGTCCAGCCCTCCGCCCCCTTCACCAACCCTCGCTGACCAGTGTGGTGAAGTATGGTCAAAAACCCCTCGTGACCGACATTGCGTGGGGGAGGCCTTCGTCTGTTGGTGGATTGAAAATGGCTGGAAATTATTTCACTTTCATGTCCCTTCATCCAGAATTCTTGTGCTGCTTTCAATGTTCAGCACAGTCCTTGTGATTATTTCTCTCAGTCGTGTTTGTGATATCTCAACAATGCTTACGATCCGGCACTCACTCCGGCCACTGGATCACCGGTGGTCAGTCACCTCCATGTCACTCTTCTATCGCTAGTACCACGTTTAGGGTTTGCGTGAACTGCATTCCTCGATTCCTCCACCCATGATGGGTGGAGGTCTCGTTCTACCAGACTGACGGTTTCGTCTCAACCACCGCGTGTTCGACCACCGCACTGCAGGTCACAAAGCTTCTCTCTCTCTCTGCTCCTTCCCTTTGCACGGCGCCACTTTTGAGTTCCCTCCCATCGTCTCTTTTCCCGAAGCTCTTACACGAATATCACCTTTCAGTAAACGAGTCAAAAGTAATCCATGACAAATTAGTCCTGCTTGTTGTTGGCTGCTTGACATTTTGGGCCTCTAGGCCTGTGCTCAGCAACCATGTTTATAAACGCATAACACGAGCACTCGGCCAAGTGCTGAATATGATTTAGTTTAAAATGTTAAACATTCCTAAGTAATGATAATTGGTTTTTTACCCTTTTATCTGGCAACAAAACTGACACCTTTTTTTTACAAGCAGTCATGTTTGCATCGACGATGTATTACTTGCCGGTAGTCATCTGGTCCAACACCATGTGAGACTAGGCTCTAAGGAAGGCTGTCTCGGGTGTGGACCAATCAACTTCAAGGACAATGCATCCATTATCAGAGTTATGTTTTTTATTTGCATTCCGACTGCAGGTATTGTGATCAATGCAAACATGACTCTGTAAACAAAGGTGTCAGTTTTGTTGCCAGATAAAAGGGTAAAAAAACAATTATCATATTTTGCTTCTGGCAAATGGGGTTCCAATGGTGATTCCTAAGTAATGTTGAGGTTGCTCACCAGTCCACTGTGTGATCTGTTCCTGTGTCACGTTGCCTATTCGGAGTTATAATGGATGTATGAATAATTATCACCGAACACAGTCGCATCTTACCCGTACCAGCATATTTATGTAATATATATATCCTTACGGGATACATATTATCGATAATAACAATCCCAGCCTAAAACCAAATCACCCAAACTCTGTTCAATCTCGTTAGATATCAGAAGCTAAGCAGGTATTTGAGCCTGGATAGCGCTTGGAATGGTAACCACCGCGTATAGACAAGCACTCGATCAAGGTCCTTCAGAGATCTCCAACGACTCGGCACTCCCAGGTCTAGGTTTGGTGACCGGGCTTTTCTTAGCGTGGCACCCAAGCTATCGAACGCCTTGCCACTTGAAATCAGGAAATCAGAGTCGGTAGATCAGAAGTCTCAAACGGGTTTTGATTCCTTACCCGTATCCGGCCGCACCAGGGTCGCAAACGGGTACCCGTACCCGGCCGGGTACGGGTACCCGTTCCCTACCCGTACCCGTACCCGTACCCTACCCGAAATGAGTGACAAACGGTTACTCACCAGTGACTCACGGCCTACACGTACCCGTACCCGGCCGCACCAGGGTCGCAAACGGGTACCCGTACTCGTTACTGGCCGGGTACGGGTAGCCGGGTATCAGGTAGGGTACGGGTATCGGGTAGGGTACGGGTAGCCGGGTATCGGGTAGGGTACGGGTATCGGGTACCCGGTTGCGACCTCTGTGGTAGATAGATTCAAGTCTGCTTTGAAACCCCATCTCGTTGAAGTGGCCTTCTTCCCTCTTTAGTTTTGCCGGTTGCCCTGGTTCTGTTTTTGTTACTTGCTTTTCATGCATTATGCATTGGGATCCTAGGATGGATTGAGCATTCTACATTTTAATTACTATGTTATGACGTGATAGGCAGTGCAGCTAAAGCCACCGTTGTTCTGTGCTGCTGTACTCCCGTGTTTATCCTCTCTGCCTTTACCAACCCACAACTGAGCGGCGAGGTGAAGTACGGTCAAACGACCCAGAGAACCACCCACACGGTGGTTGGGAGGTGGATTGACACAGGGGCTGCGTGTTTACGTAATTACAGGTACTACGATAACAACAACAATAAACAATGACTTGCATCCCACTGGGATTTTTGCACACAGCGTTGGTGTACGGTTATTTTTTTCTGCAATATATTGCTGTCTTTTCTTTGATTTTCTGTTTGCACTTAGTCACATATTCACTTTAAGATGTTTTTTGTTCATGTTATTGTTTTTTGTTTGTTGCGGTTGCACCCGATTCAAGAGCCGAATGGCCCACAGGGCTATACCTAATACATGAACTTGAAAAAAATGAAATGAACTTGAACCTAGGCGGCACCGATATATTGTATCATCGTAATCACAAGACCAACGACAAAAAACGAATAGAGTTCGAGCGAACATCTCGTTTCCAACAGGGCCGGTTTCACCAATCCAACGCGTCCTCAGGGCTAGGCCTCAGGCCTTAATGCCGGCTCCGGGAGACTTTTTCCACTGCCAAATCTGAGCCGAGCCACCACAAGGGGCCCCCTCGCAGCACGGGTGGTTTTCCACTGGGCTATTTGCCGAGCCAAGCCGGAACCAAACTACGATTAGCCGGTCTCACAAGGCATCTCAATCTGGCTCGGGGTGGGGGCCAAGTAGGGCCAGGGGCGGAGCTAATGACGCCTTCAATGCGTGTGACGCGAGTCAGTTCACACCTCCAACGCAGCGTCACTGCGTTCGTCTGCGTGCGTACCGATGCGTTTATCGCGTGTGACTATAGTTGGCACGGCTCGGTTTCTGCGGTGGAAAAAACAACCCGGAGCCTCCCGGGCCGGCACAGGGCGGCCCCGACAGACGCGGTTTGGTTGTCCAGTGGAGAAGAGGCACGGAGGCTGCTCAACGCTCAGCCTCTTTGTGTCCCGGCAACATTCGCGGAGGCCGAATCATCACCACCACCACCGCTGGCAACCACGTTGATCGAGCGGGGAGGGGGGGGGAGGCAGTGGAGCCCCCCAGCGTTCAGCCTCTGCGTGCCGAGCACTCTCACTGCGCCGCGGTCAACGCGCGACGCCGCAAGATCGGACCAACCGGGACCCCTGCATGGAAGCGAGAGGGCGCGCGCAAACTCGCAAGCAAGCGGGCGGGGCAAAGCGTTTGGCGCAAGCGAAGCGGAGGCAGCCAAAGCGGAGGGCCGGGGTGGAGTTAAGGAGGAGACGGGGCGCCAGGGGGAAGCGGTGGGGAGGAGGGAGGGAGGGAGGTGTAGCGGCAGGCGGCCTTACTGGAGGAGGTATTTCCTCAGAGCCCTGCCGGACGGTTTCCTGTTGCTGTCGGTGCCCCGGTAGGTCCAAACGGAACCGGCTCCCACCTCTGTCCGCACGAAGCATGGGTGCTTCGACAGATTGGTGCGGATGGCGTTCTGGCATGCGGGCGGCGGCGGGTGCGCGTGAGCGCGCGCGCATGCGTGCGGCGCGGGGCAGGCGGAGGTCACATTGGGGGGGCGGGGGGGGACGGGGGTCAGGGGTCACGTGGGAAATGTGGTGGAGGGCGGGGGGGATGGGGAGGGGATTTGGGCAGCAGGTTAGCGGGACGGGGAGCAAATAGGGGGCAGCGGCGCGCGAGGTTCAAGCGGATTTTCCAAGCGGGCAGCGAAGCCAGCGCGGAGTAGGTGTGGAGCGGCACGGGAGCGAGGGACGGCGGGGGAGCGGCCACGGGGGGCAGGGAAGTGGGGGGAGAGAGAGGGAGACACAACAACAAGAGGGGAGTCACTCACAAACCACCATTAACATTCAGCAACATCCAAACGCCGGTGGAAATCGAGAGTCGGGATGGAGAGTGGTGTGGGGGTGGAGGGGGGGAAATACGGGGTAGTAGTGGGGGGGGGGAGGGCTCATAAATAATTTGATTCAAAATTCCTTCTTCTCAGCATTCGTTGGTTTTTCAAAATGTATCTAAAAATCAGCCTTTCTTTTCCTTTCCCTCTGAGCTCCACGGCCCAGAGTGCGGCGCGCATGGCAAGGCGGCCAAGCAAGGGGTGGCGAAGCAAAGCAAGCGTAAAGCGGGGGGGGGGAGGGGCGGAAGAGCAGGGCTGCGGCGGCGGCAGCAACGGCGAGGACCGGTTGCCGCGGGTTACGTTGCCAAGATCTCACAACCCTGGAGGCGCAAAGGGGCACAACAACAGAGAGCGGTGAAGCGCGGCAGACGGCGGTCGCCCGGGGCGACGGGTCGGGTGGGCGCGACACACACACACGCGTGCGCGCGCGGCGCGTTACCCTGTGGGTTTCTGCGGCCTTCGCTTTTGGAACTCCAGCTCGTCCACCGTCCACACTGCACCCTTAACGTTCTCAACACGCACAAAACACTTGTGCAGGCTCAGGTTATGCCGCACGGCATTCTGGGGTGGGGCAGGCGGACGGACGGGCGCACGAGTACCCGGGAGCGGATGGGGTGGGAAGAAAATGGACACAAAAAGGAACAAACAAAACACAACGCGATGAGTCACTCGAGGTGTTTCGGACTTCCGGCCTGGTCAACAACAACAACACGTCTTGAGAGCCCTTTAAAAGACCGGGGCAGTGAAACGTCTTTAAATCATGAAAACAACAGTAAAACAGTGCACTCGCCCAACAACCAGGTGGTGCACACGTTGTGCCAAAAGCAGCTCTACCCCATGCATATTGGGCCCTGTGTGGAGTTTATAGCGTCCATCACATCCTGTTATTCACACACGGTTGTCGCTTCTGACTTGTCTTTTTTTTTATCAGCTCGAGGTGAGGTGCAATGAACGGCCACTCGCTGGGAATGTTTGTCATCTTACACCTGAATTTTTTACGATGACGGTGATAACTTTTTATTTTATTTGTCTGCGCAGAAGCCACAATGCCAACAACAACCACCGCCATCTCGTATTCCCGCCGGTGACTGAGCCTCCCGGTCGGTGCGGAGCCCACGGCACATAACCGGATCGATGTGACACAACATCGTGGATAAGTTCAGCCTCCTCTGTTTAACGTACGAATCCTGGACACGTCGATAGAATTCATTTCGAACTCTTTTCATTAAACTAATTTGATTGTTTTACTTCATACGGTTTGGTCTGTCGACTTTATTATACTTATCTGAGTTATAAAGCACATTTATAAATACCCCAAAGAGAAAAAAATTCGGGAAGCAAATTATAGAAAACATCTTGATCCAAAGCCTCTGCACATCTCGCACCAACCTCATACACCTATTACAGCTTTTAAAACCCTCTCACGATTCGCTTTTGCTAATTATTCAATCACAACATTCAACCACCTGTTGAACAGAAATCTGTGGGCTGTGTATAAATGGATGACCCCCTATCATCACGCCACGCTTAATTCAATCGTGCACCGAGTTTTCCAGCTTGCGCCGTCCGCCGACACAGAACCACGTGACGTGCGACCGCTTTCTCCTTCGGCTACTGCGCAAAGCCCAGCTCGGCCGTAATGGCCACAAGGCGAGGGCCGTTCGCTGCCGCGGTCTTTCGACCGACAATCTGCCGGTTGCGAACGCCCGCACAACAAACAGAGCGCGGCGCTGGAACGCGCGACGCCACGATGCCTCCATCGGTCTCTGAAAGGGTTAAAACAACGGCGAGCCCATAAACAGCAAAACGCACCGCCGCCACACGGACTAAACTAACAACAAATAGAACCTGCGGAGGCATTTTTATTCCCAACAGTAAAACGATCGTCTGATTCGTAAATACAACCGTACCAATATAAATTCCTGACATTTTTTTTTATCAATTCCTTTTATCACTATTACTGGGTAATTATTTTTGTACAGAGAGGGCTTAAGTTTAGTTATTTTCAGATGGGAGAACAAAAAATGTTCGCGCTGGAACAGAATGCAAGCCGGCTATGAGGACATGTACAGGGGGACAGGTACGGCTATGGGGGGACAGGTACCGCAGCTTGTGGCTGCTTCCCTTTAAACATTAATTGCGAAGTATATTCTTAGGTTTTTTCGGTCAAGTCCCGTACCTACGTGACTTTACCGAAAAAACCTAAGAATATGAATCCTTGCAGTCACGAAAGCTTCAAATCTATAATTAATTTCGAAGCTTCTGCTCACCGTGTACCCCACGCAGCAGACCTCTTCCATGTTGTGCGCGTACCCCCCCGGCAAGTATGCGGGTGTTACATTTAATTAGGCGATTGAAACATGACATTTTTGTTGATTGCATTTGAACGTCAGGGCTGCCAGTGTAAAGCGCAAACGGAGCGTTGTGCATCACTGCAAGCACCTAGGCCACACTAATCGGGTACGAGAGGGGGACAGTTTCGACCTGGCGACATTGCGTTTCTTATTTTAGCACAGTCACCGTAAGGGCCTTTCGCACTGAGGTGACTGGGGCGTGTGTTCAAAATGCGTGGTTGCCTGCCAATGTATTTGAAAGAACCAAACGGGACCTTTTTTGCAAATATCATAGTATGAAAAACCTATTCAGATTTTTTCATAATTTTAAAGTACCGTTCGCCCTTAAAAATCGGTCAAAATCTTCCAAAAAAAATCGGTAAAGTTTCAAAACGCCGGGTACCTTCCAAGTGGCCGTGTTGGTGCGGAAGTAGGCGAAGGTCGTCGTAAACCAGGTGTAGATTTCATTTAACGTCAGCTGCCGGTCGGGGTTCTCTATGATGGCCTGCGGAAAGTGGGACACGGCAGGTTTAAAGAGATATTTCAACAGCGGCGTAACAAACAATTCAAACAAAACTCAAATTAACGAGATTCAGCGAGAAGCGGAGCGAAAATTCGTCGATGTCAGCAGGGCTGACGGCACGGGGTGTGGCGTGCCGAGACGGGATCTCACCTGCCGGATGAGAGAGGCGTACGTGAAGGGAGGTCTCACCTCCGCGTTCCTGTAAAACTCCTGGTTCTGCGCTATTTCTGCAAAAGAGAGGGCATCGTCGTCACTCCGTCAAAAAGTTTCTTCCCCCACGTATGGACGCACGTAGTTATGTACAACTTCTTTCGCACCGTACGTGGCCAACCGTGCTAATCGGAGGTAGCCCACCGACAGAGCGATAATTAACCCTCGAGGCCATGGCAGGGACGTTCGGCCAGCCACGATCTATCACCTGCTGGCGAAGGCTTTCCCCCCAGAAAGCTGCCACCATATCTCACGGTCGTGCTCTGCAACGATCCACCTTGCTCCTACCCACGAGCGAGCCGATTTCATCGCTCCGTCCCTGCGGCGATCGACCTCTCGGAAGTAATTCACTCCTTTGGCTGCACTCCGTCATCAGTCTCGATCACCGGACGTCATCCGCCCCAGCGACGTATCCCTGCCCGAACCCGCTTGCTATTCTCAACGATCAATACGACGTCTCTGACTTGAATGCGTTCTCCAAACCACGTGCTCATCTTTCCGTCTCTCAGTGCAATTCCAAGCATGAACCTCCCCCACCCCCCCCCTCCACCTCACTTCTTTGTGCACTTTTGTTCGCTCTTCATCATTAACGTCCACCTTTCCGATAGACGTCATCACACACGTGCACTACACACCGACTAAACACTCCATGCACAATGTTTTTGCTGCTTTCCATCGTCAAAATTACATCTTTAGAAAGCACACCAAACCTGCTCTCGCGCCCACCCCTTCGATTCATCACGCGATCTCGACTCGCCTTCAATCATTGGCCCCAGGCCTATATGATGCTCGGCTGTATTTCCAGTTGTGTTCCTCCGGCAAATATCTACAGTTTTTGAGTGAAAATGGACGTAACTTTATTTTAATCGATTGGGATTACACAAAGCGATCATCGGCCCCTACTGGCAGACTAAGGCCAGGTGCTGAGCCATCAGCGGGGGCATGGGGGAGCGCGGGGAGGGGGGCATGGGGGGAGGGGCACGACGGCACGTAGCCAGTCGGCGCCACAGCACCGCCGGAGGGACGACCTCCCCACGCTGGCGCTCACCGCTCGAGAGGCAGCCGAACTTGTCGAGGTTGCGGCGCCGGATGGGCCCCACGGCCTGCATGGCCTGCATGGTGCTCTGCGTGAGCACGGTGAGGCCCTGCACCACCCCCATGCCGGAGCCCGGCGACACGGAGAGCCGCGGCGGCGGGGGCGGCGGGGCCAGGGGGGGCGGTGCCGACAAGGCCGCCGACGACGCCGAGAGGGCGGCGAGGGCCGCGGGCGGCCCGCACGGCGTGGGCGGCGTGTGCGGCGCCAGCGTCTTGCTCCGCGGTGGCGTCTCGGGGACCGACCGCGCCAGGTTCAGCTGCGACGGGCAAAAAACACGGGAAGGGAGGTGGGGGGGGACACGGAATGACGTGCGGGCGCCAGCCTAGCGGACGCTTCGGTACCCACACTTTACCCCGCCACACGCGGCCTGCCTGCACATCGATTCACTGCGGTGGATCCCACTTATCGGTGGACAGAGGCGGTGGGCGGTTGGAGGGAGAGAGGCGGGACGGGGGGAGGGGGACTCAGTATAGCTGCACCATTGTTTCAACTGCCGCCCCTGGGTGATGGAATCGAAGTTGTGACCGTTGGATTGCAAGCCCAGTGTTCTAAGCGTTTGTGCGCCGACTCAGAAATGAATTGGATTTACGTAACGTCCAGATGCGACCGCATCTCGAAACACTGACCGCCTACCCAATATGCTTTGCGCTAATTAAAGCATGCGGGAGGTGGGGACCGGTTTAACGGTGGTTTTCGCACTGCACTATGAACCTGGCGGCCTGCACGACGCAGCACAATTTGCGATGCGATTTGGGTTGATAAATGGTTGGCATGTAACGTGGGTGGCGTTGTCGTGTACCAACCTGCACTGCCCAGTATGGTGAAGCAGCATGGCCAAACAACCCCCATGACCGATGGAGGATGGGGAGGCCTTTATCCACCGGTGGATTGACAAGGGGCTGTAAATAATTATTATTGCGACAGCAGAAAGATCGAGGTTTACAGCAAGCGGAGGCCGACGGGTGGAGTTGAAATCTCAGTTCCATCACCATTGAAAAGTGGATATTTATTTGGATTTATTTACGCCACTGCCAATCAGCCCGCTAACGCCGCAATGCCTTCAAGAGTTCTTCAAGAGTTGCGACCCCTACGGCGAGTCTCTCATCATCTAGACTCCATCAGACGTCACGGCACCACCCTACCCCTCGCCCATTTTTTCCAGGATCTCTGAGATTCTCTCTCTCGTGTATTAACCTCAAGAGTTCCCCAATAAGCGCGGCGAGCCCACGCGTGTAGATGTTTCCTTCCTCTCGGTGACAGTTAAAGAGCTCCCTTGTGTTCATTTTAACTGGCCTGTGAATCATCGTGGAAGTTCTGTTGCAAGTTGCGCTCAGTGTGCAGGGGTACGACCAAGGGACTAGCTCATTGAGAAAATTCCCGGTGTCGCTGCATTGACACAGTCCAACCACGACCGGCAGCGCCAAATCAAGCACACATTTTTGTGCCCAGAGTTTACCGAAGGGAGGCCCAGACCGGGTTTCAGATTCCCATTGCTGCCGTCACTGTGCATATGCAATGAGTGAACCTGCGTTGCCAGGCATTGAAATGCAATGCGCTCCGATACACCCCCACATGAAACTCATTAACACGCGCACACACACCCAGCACTGGCTTGCAACACATCACACGCGTACACACACTACACACACAGCTTATCAAAGTTATGACCCCTTTCTCATAATGGCAGGGTATAAAAACGCAAGCATAAATTTCTAAGTTTTTATGTTTTTGGGTTATTTATTAGATCTGTAAATGTATGGCGGGGGAGTTACAAGCATTCGGTTTATTGTGGTGTGACAGCCCAGCCCTGCGGGTGGTCTAACTGCAAGGAAGGGCAACCCCTGACACTAATAGGTACCGGTTCACGCCCCACTGCCACCACCGCTGACGATGGTGTGCGCTGTGGGAATATTTTAACCGTCTCCGGAATAAATAAACAAAAATCCCTGTAATGTCATATTTTCCCACTAGAGGGTACGACAGAGCCTTCTGAACATTTGCCACCCGGCCCAACGGACGAATAAAAATAAAGAGTCGATCAATTTAAAGTATTCGTGAAATAACGTGCGGCCCTTTTGTCAATCAATGCTTCGAACGCGACACGGTGGCCTCGCTGTACGGACATCGGTGAAAGAGAGCTTCGCAACTCATCGGATTTCTCCACTACAAATAAATATTCAGATTCTGTACGTTGAACTTCTTTCGCACCGTACGTAGCCCAACCGTTCTAATCGGAGGTGTGCGACACAAAGTTCTTGACGTTTATATTTTTTAAAAAAACGTCACCGTTTCAACCGGCGGCCGATGAAAATGCGCGCAGCCTCTCTCGTGACACGCGCCGGTATTTGTACGGACGCGCGCGTAGGCACGATGAGGCCCATGGATAAGGACGCCGTGCGTGCGGTCTCAACGCCCGGCACACGAAGACGAAGCGCCGCAGATGAAATCAGGGACCCCCCTCCCCTCCACTCCCCCTGGCAAACTTCCAAGACTTCCGTCAACCAGAAACTTGTTTTGCAAAACAATGAATTTGCAGGAAAATAACGAGTGCGGCGAGAAAAAATAATAATAAACGCCGCCCCCCGCCCGCCAAAAAAAAATTCCGATGATTTCATCATTTGAGAGTTTGTTTCTGTTTTTAGCGGTGACATTTCCACAATCTTGAGTCTGCGCGCCGCAAACTCTGTTTGCAATGACGGTGCCACTAACCATCATCATCATAATCCTGCAGGGGTTGAAACAATTAGTACTATTTTGTTGGCAAGTCAAAGAGTGGATGTGCTTTGGGTAGACTCACCCCCAACCCAACGCCCCCTCCCCCCGCAGGAATGTGGAATTTCTACCACTGGCTCCCGGCAGCCAAACTTCCACAAGTTCACCTGCAGGCAAATCTAAAATACCTAGAAATTTGTGGTTTATAAAGTGAAACGACGGCATCGTCGTCAATCTTCCCATTATCATCAAAGTGGTTCCTGGAGAAAACCTTCCCGCTGATGCTTTGAAACTACGACGTCCTCTATTGCGTTTACAAAAGACACGACGAGTCGTTACTAAACGGCCGCGTGCCGCTCGGGCAGGACACGTCGCTAAGAAGCGACGGTGGTCTCGCGTCGGAAATCATCAATGGAGTGGCAGTCAACGGAGGAAATGCGCCTGAGAGGTGCGGAGCGGTGAAATCAGCTGCCGTGCGAGGTGAATGAATGCATCGTGAGACCGTGAGATACACCGAAGCCTTGGGGAGGCCTTCACCCAGCGGTGGATTGACAAGGGGTTGCAAGTGAGGATGACGACGACGATGACGTTTCATGCGTCGCATTAACGACGATGGCGTCTGGGGTGAAAGGAACACTACAAACGAAGCACCGCGTTTGTGTCTGTATAGGCCGTGTCTCGCGACTGCCTTACCGGCTGGATGCAGCTCTTCGACTGAGACTTGGAGACGTGAAGATGGGACATCATCGCCTCCAAAATTTCCCTCTCCTTCTCCAGCTGCACGCGGGCAAAGAGCGCAGCATGTTAGCATGGGAGCCGAGCAATGTACCCCGATTTCAATCCTCTCGATTGATCTTGTAGGTAGAGGGGCCTTTCGGCCTTCTGCGTGTACCCATGCAGCTATTTACTCAATCCACTGCCGGACTGTACCTACGTATGCATGTCGAACTTATTTCGCACCGTACGTACCCAACCGCGCTAACAGAACCTAGGCCCCCCACCCCCCCACGCCGTGCGGGTCGTAGTGGTCGGTGCGGGTCAGTGAAATGCGGGGGAGGAGAATAGTCGTTTGGAGCACGGCGGTGCGAACCACGTGGTACTGTAGCGCTGCCCCCTAAGGCCCCCTAAGGCCCCCTAAGGCCCCCTAAGGCCCGCCACGGAGCCTAATGACGACAGCCTCGTCGCGGTGCCCTGTCGTCTCAGCCCCATCCAGGACCAGCCACGCTCGGCGTCCAACACCCGACGGGGGTTGCGATATCTACGGGATCCTGTTTTATTTTTTGTCAGTATCAAACACGATAAAAAAAAAAAACTCTTTCGCCCGAGCTATTAACGCTTCAGCGTTTGCATCGTCCTTGTGGCGGTCGCCTGCTGCCGTTGTTTTGTTTTGCTCTTCTATAGCACCGGTGAGACGCAAAGCCATAAAAGAGGCTGTCTCTGGTGGAGGCAAATCAGTTTCAAGGACGGTGCGCAGATTATATCAAAGCATATTTGTTTGCATGTTTTACCACGAGCATGGGTAGTAAACGCAGACCTGATGTCTTGTAACAGGCATCGATTTGGTGTTTGAACATCTTAACACCTGCATTATTGCCAGAAAGGGTAAAGAGATTGGACTAATTATGGGTGATTCAAATCACAGGATGCATCGTATCCAGTATAAACACACATGTATGTATTGTATATTTGTGAATGCATGCTTGAATAAATGCCACATATATGCGAACGTGTATAAACTAAAAATGTATAAACACTGCATGGCATATGTCAATAAACTCATGGTGCATGTACGTTGTTTAAGCAAAAACACATGGATACCCAGACTGCACACACGCAGATACACATGTATAGCCACACGCACACCACGAGCCTCCATAGTTGGGCTACGTACATGGCTGTTAGCGAGCACCTATTAAGGTAGGGGCGGCACTCAAGGTAGCGGCGTGACCAGCTTCCTGCGCGTGAGGTGCCGATGTTAGCGGGCTGCACCTGGGGCACTCATTTAAGGCCGACTCGACCTAGGGGAGGCCCATTCCAGATTCAGATCCCAATCAGAAGGCTGCTGTGGGAAGTCAACAGCGGATTTCCTAAGGATAGACTCGTCCCTGCCATCAGAACGCGGAATCCCCAGCCCTGGCTCAGGGCGGTCAGCAGGAGATGAGCAGCACCTCGTTGCTCATGTGAGCGTCAGGAAATCGCTCTGTTATTGTGACTCCCACACGCACGCGCACAAATGCACGCGCGCAGATGCACGCACGCACACGCACGTGTGCACAGGCGGGCATGATGGGCGTGCATACACACCTGTATCTCCAGCTGGTGCACCACCTGCATCTGCACGCGGCACTGGGCGGCGCTCCGGTCGTCCAAGCCGTGCTCGCTGTGCAGGTGCCTGTGCAACACACACGCGCACACACGCACGCACACGCACGCACGCACGGACACGCACAAATGCACACGCACAAGCACACACACGCACGCACACGCACGCACACGCACGCACGCACGCACACACACAACACGTACGACCCTTGTTTAGCATGGCTAGAGACAACTGGGGCAAAGCGGTGTCAGCGAATGCCCGTTGTGTCTGCAAGGAGAACATTTAGGTTCTCCTTGCAGACACAAGGTTCGAGCCGAGTGTGGCTGTGGATTAAATTTGTGAACGGCTCGCCATCCAACCACCGCTTGTATGTGCGTGTGTATGCTTGAACTTCTTTCATACCGTACGCAGCCAACCGTGCTAATCGGTGGTGCGGGTGAAGGACGACAAACTAAACACAAAAAAGCAGCTCGAAAGGAATGAGCTTTAAATCGATATGCAGAGAGGCAGACAGAAAACACAGCTCACGCAGGATACGTTTCAGTTAAGTGCACACACGGACAGCCCTTCTTCATCAAGCCGCTGCGGATCGTGGGGGAGTTAATTCACTGCACCTCGCCACGCTGCTCAGTACAGATTGGTTAAAGGTGGAGAGCACAGGCGTGGGACCGCAATGGGTGTCTCTGGACTGCCCCCTCCTCTATGCACACCGTAGGCACCCGAAGCTGCCCGATAACGCGCCGCTCTCTCCAGGTGTCGCGGGCTCGTGGTCGCCCGCACGGGTGCCATCCGTGCTCAAGCCCGCTTAAGCTTCCGCGCGACTGTGAGAGATCGGGTGAACGCCAGGTGTTTTTGATCGGAGGCTGAGGATACTTTTTTTGCGTGCGCACCGATTGTGTGCGTATGCGTACGGGCGCTAATTGCGCACGGCTGAGCTTCGCGGCTGTGCGTGGCTATTTCTCTGTCCACCAATCCTGGTCGAGAGACGGGAGAGACAACTTAGCTTGTGTACTTTTCCCCTCTGACAAAAAGGCAGTGTTTACGAATGACGGCGGTGATGATGATCGAGCATTTTGAGGACAGACAAGACATTCCAATGCCACGGTCTGACGGGCGATGATAAACGACGCTTGAATGTACAGACAGGTTGATTCGAGAGAAGAAAAAAACCCATCGGCATTTCCTGAAGAAGTGCATTGTTGGTCATCTTTGTCTTTGGTCACCATCAAAATAGATTTGAGTGAATGTGATGATCGACTGACAGCAGCAGCGACTGAAAACAACTGCGTACCGGCTGCAATGGCCGTATGCACGTACGCACACTGGCCGCGTCATTGTAACGCACACTCGTGTCTAAGTTTGTAAAGGTATGGTTTTTCCAGCCTTGCGCTATTATGCTGTTGCGATGGGGGCTATTCTCGTTGTTGATAGATCTGATATACGTAGGCGAACAGGTACAGTAGCACACCTTTAAGGGAGTTTACAGGAATAAAAACCCATAAATATATATGTCTGTTGAAATTCTTTCGCACCGTACGTAGCCAACCGTGCTGATCCGAGGTGCGGGCGGAATTGCATTGCTATTATTTATTATCAGAGAAAAGCATCGGCTGAGTCTTAAGACTGTAAGCTGTAAGGTCATAGTTCAAAAGTTTTCTTGAATGTCTTAAATGCGAGAAGAAACCGCAGATACCAGGGGACCACCGATATGCATCACATTCCATCAATTGGTAACGAGTCGGTCAGCATCCTACTTGCTGTACTGCCTCCTGCAAGTGCCTCGCTACTCGCACAAGCGTGTGGCGGTCTCGCGCAACTTCATGATCTCTGCGCGATCCATCATCCCCGTCTCCACGGACAAACATTAAACAAGGTGGCAAGGAAGACAGATGACCATGAGTTTCACAACCGCGCTCTCAATAACGGCTGGGGTTCCACTTCTGTGGCAGACCAGTGCTTCTCAGCTCCAGTCCACGCCCCACCTCTCCATAGTTCAGCTCTTGCGATTCTCCAAGTCATTTCAACTCAAATTAAGGCACCGCACACCGTATGCACCTGATGATTGGTAATCACGAAACGGTGTACTGTACTGGGCACGAAGTCGGGAGTTGAGAAACACTGACCTACACGGAATTTAAGTCAAAGTTGCATATTTGCTGAACAATCAGACTACTAAAAACTAAACTATTAGTATTTTACCAGGTAAGGCCTAGTCGAGCTATATAGCTGTTTTCGCCAAAGTGGCTTATCGTGTGGAAATTTATTAGAGCCAAATACTCTGAATGCACGTTTCTAAATGTGGAGGGGAAAACCGGTGGACCCGGAGAAACATCCAGGCGAGCACAGGGAGAACATGCAATATCCAAATATGCAGGCGTCAGGGTCGGGATCGAACCCACGACCTCCTGTATACCAGACGAGGTAGTTAACATATCCTAGCCACCGTGGCGCCAATCAACAATGCTCCACTGCAGTAGTTTTATTTATTCAGACCGGGCCCCATCATTCAGACGGCAGGAGTGCAATCATCAATATCGTCTGGTTGGGCCATCATTACACTGCATGCGCTTAACACGCCTGACTGCTGGTGAAGACCCAAAAAGCCGGTCCAGAAATTGCTCAAACAAACAAAAGTCTGGAAAGGCCAACAGGATGATAGGCTTAAAAAAAAAAAGTATTTATTTGTGGTGTCTATTTTTAACAAGCTGACGAGCCCTCACATCAAGGGGGCTCTGTGCAAAACCACTCACGCGTGGAAAATAGGCAAATGCCCACACAAACGGACGCGCACGTGAGTCGAGAGAGATAACGCAAACGCGCGCGCTAACCGCGGTGGCACGCACAGCATGATGTGACGGTTTTTTTTCATGAGAGCACTTTGTTCAAGGTGCCTTCCGCTGCCGATATTGCCCAGGTGCCCGTGCGGGTGTTGGGCATGAGCATTGGTGAGCTGTGGCGAGTTTCGCAGTGACAGGGCTTAAGGAGGTTTTGTAGCTTTGAAAGAAATGTGATGTGTCCATATAGTTCATCAGTGGGCTCCTTATCTCTCTTCTATTGGTAGGGCGCCACGATGGATAGATATTAACTCCCTCGCCTGGTATGCAGGAGGTCATGGGTTCGATCCTGACCCTGACGATCCCTGTATCTTTGGAGTTTGCATGTTTTGCCCGTGGTCATGTGAATTTTTCTCCGGGTTCTCCGGGTTTTCCCTCCACATTTAGAATCAACACGCGTTTAGAGTATTTAGCCGCAATACATTTCCACGTGATAAGCCACTTCGTTGATCTATCATTTGTGGCCAGGTCTCTTCTGAAAAAGAGCTATGTTGCTGAGTGGGCCTTACCTGGTAAAATAAAAAAAAATGTTTACTGCCATCCATAATAAAGTTTGTTTGGTTTAGATCGCGTAAATATAAATGTGTCGTTAACCCACCGCCACCCGACACAGCCCGAAACGTCGCCTACGATATATATCTATATGATAAAACCATTCACAGCCTCAGCTGTATTGAGAAGTGCGTGCGTTGAGTTTTTGTTGTTGTTAACTGTCTTTGTGCACCAATGCAGCAGCATCACAGAGATAATTAGTTTGACAGGATAACACTCGTCTGCTCGCTTGAGCCCATTAAGGATCGCTCTCCTGTAAAATATCACAAAACAAATGAGGATTTCTCAATAAATGCACACGTGGAGTAAAAATCCGCTTGTAAGCAAGAAGCGCCATAAATCAAATGTTGTTTTTTTATTGGCGAGCATGTAAGCTACGCAAGGCATTAAATTAACGTTAAAATGTAAGTTATATGTGAGCAAGCAACTGCTGAAGTCGTTTAAGAAATGCAATATTTCTGGACTTTTTTTTCTCTCTCTCTGCAGAACCGCTACAACGGCAGCAGCAGGCTGCACGAAGCCAACATATTTATTTACCTCTTTAAAGAACGTCAAAGGTAACATTTGCCAGGATTATTTGCCATGGGCTTTCATAAATAAAAGCACATGTAAACACCGCTATTAAACGATTCTTAAATAACTAGTGACAATACAATTAGAACCCGCCGGTGAGTTTTATATTTTGTGCGTTTTTTTATTATAGTTGCTAGAAATAAATCTAGGCGCAGATTCAAAATAAGTAACGTTCAAATCTCTGACTTCGTAGTGCAGTACGCCAACCACTTCACCACCACTCCCATCGCATAAACGTATAGGAATCATGAATCTATTCTTATGCGAGTGATTTTATGCACGTAGCGAGAGCGTTAGAATTGATATTCGCCGATCAATCTACGTATTATTGTGTTGCCTCCGAAACGTCGTGATTTTTATTTTATTTTCTTTTTCTTTTACTTTTATTAATTTACATTTTTTACCTACGTGACTTTAACGAAAAAACCTAAGAATATGAATCCTTGCAGTCACGAAAGCTTCAAATCTAGAACTACGTATTATCGTTACGTGCCTACTTATACGTGAGGGACCTTTGTTTAATTTGAATTTTCACAAGTCCATGTCAACCAGAATGCGTGCAAGGCTTTGCTTGGGTTATAAGTCAACTGCTGAGGGCTAAATACGCCTACTCACGACTCCTTGTATCTATGTATGCAAAATAAGAATAGGTTTTACCCTTTCTGGTAATACAACAGCTGTTAAGATGTTCAAACACCAAATAGAAACCTTTGGCAAGGAATCAAGTCTGCATTAAGCACACACACACACTCTACTCGTGGTGAACAGGCACACAAACACGCTCTCATGATATATATGCAATGTCTTTGAGACGGATTGGCCTACATCAGAGACAGCCTTCTTTATGGCCTAGTCTCATCCATTTTCAGACAGGAGAATGCATATATTATCACGGTTTGTTTGCATGTTCACCACAAGGGCGTGTGGTTAATGCAGACGTGATTCCTTGCAAAAGGTATTTATTTGTTGTTTGAACATCTTAACACCTGCTGTTTTATTGGCAGAAAGGGTAAAAACCTATTCTTATTTTTCATACTTTGATACTGGCAAAAAAGTCCCATGATATCGTTGTATGGATGTTGAACTTCTTTCGCACCGTACGTAGCCAAC